TTAGGGTTTAGGGTTCAGGGTTTAGGGTTTGGGGTTCAGGGTTTAGTTTGGGGTTTAGGGTTTAGTTTGGGGTTTAGGGTTTAGGGTTAGGGTTTGGGGTTTAGGGCCTTATAATAAGGATCCTACTAAGTTGGGGTCCGATATCAGGGTGCCTGATTTTCCGAAACTCCCAGGTGGCCAATGGAGAAACCGTCCTGGTTCACTCCTATGTTCTCATGTCTGCCTCGGAGGTTTTCACCAGGATGTTGCAATCAGAGGTCTTTCTGGAGGCACAGACTGGCCGCATCGTGTTGAAGGACAAGACTCGCGAGGAGATCCAAGAGGTCTTAAAGCATCTGGACCTGCGGAATGGAGCTGAACCACCGCCTGTGACCGACCAGAATGTAGAGTTGCTGGTGCGGTTTGCCGATGAGTATCAGGTCACTGGATTGCGAGAGCGTTGCATTTCTGCAATGAAAGTGCTTGCGAAGCAGAAGATGATCCGCTATTTGAAGTTGGCAATCAAGTACAACATGCCAGATATCGTTGAGCTGTGCGTTCAACACTTGGTCGAGCTGCAGTGCGATGAAGGCGAAAGACAAAGACAAAGAAATCCTCTATTCGGGTTTATGTCCAGCCACACTCACGCGCCCACGAGAGCGGATCGGGCAGGGGCAGCTTTGAGAGAGAAAGCCAAGGATACCTTGCTGGGCCTGGAAGACAACCCAGCTGTGAGGAGTGCAGTGTACCGGGAGGTCTACAAGATGATAGTAGAAGATCAGGCTGAGAACGTGCGGAGTGTTCGTGAGGAAGAAACATCGGTGCCTTGCTCCAGACATTGGAAGACGCTGGTGACCATGTTGCTTGCGATGAGGATAGAATGCCCAAAGGGAAAAGTTGTGCAGGACGAAATGCCACATGGATGGATGGCCGCTTTTTGGCCCTTGTTGAGCATGGCTGTCGCAGACTTTGAAACAATCAGAGATGCAGAGTACAAGGACGTGCTGACCAAGCCGGAAAATTTTGTACAGGTGGATCAGGAAGGTGAAGAAGAGGAGGAAAACGCTGAGGATGAGGAGGTTAATCCATCATAACTAAGCGTGGCAGAAACGCCATAGACACCAAACCCTAAACCCTG